ACCTCAATCACCAGAAAGGCATCTGCTCTCGGAGGATGCAAGCCTGAGGACCAGAATCAGGAGACCAGATTCTCTTTCCAGCCTGGTCTCACTGCTTCATCTCCACATTTACCTTCAGCTATAAAATTAGGGCACCAGCACTAATGTACTATAATTCTATGTTGTCCCATGGTTTTAAAGGAATCTTACCAAAATCCATGGAGGTTGTAGGACCACTAAACTCTGTATTACTCAGACTAACCCTAACATTCTGTGTCAGCAACAAATTTAAACAGAATATTGTAAAAGTGACATACATATAGAGAAGGCAGACAGGAAGAACACTGACCCAGAAACCCTTAGATATACTGTATGACTGAGAGAACAAAAATACTCAGCTTAGAAAAGAAAAATCCATAGTCTTTTAAGTACCAAGGGATAGATGTCATAATGATGACTCATTCTGTTTTTCTTTATAGGACTCCATTGACCAATGAGTGAAGACTTCAGGGAAGAAGGTGATACAACAGAATAAAGAAATCTAATAACCAACTTGGTCTGCAAATACACGACTTCCTCTGAAATAAACTGCTTCCCTTGTCATCGCCTGTCTGAGAAGGTAAATAAGGATGGAAGCTCGCTCACTCACTGTCTTTTCTTCCCTTTCTGTCGCTCTGCCTTTCAAATAAATAAAACATTTTATTTTTTTTTTAAGATTATTTATCTGAAATGCAGTGGGAGGGAGGGAGGGAGGGAGAGAGAGTGAGAGAGAAAGAGGAAGGAGGGAGGGAGGGAGGGAGGGAGGGAGGGAGGGAGGGAGGGAGGGAGGGGGAATCGATCCTCCAGGCCAGCGCTGCTGATGGACGCTTAAACTTCTATACCACAGTGCTGGCCTCAATAAAAAAATTTTTTAAAAAGCTACTTTAGAGCAGGAGGCAACAAATTTTTATACATAATGGGATTTGTGTGTTACATATAATCCCTTAAAAGTCCAAAAGGCACCCAAGCTTTAAGGCTATTCAAAAACAGCTGGTATGCTGACCTTTCTTCTAGAAGTACATTACCCAATAGAAATGAGTCACATATGTCATTTAAAATTTTTCCAGTATCTATATTTAAAAAGGTAAAAGGAGATAGGTGAAGTTAATTTTAATATATTCACTTAATCCAATATATCCAAGAAGTTATTATTTAGAGTTAGACAGAGAGAGAGAGAGAGAGAGAGAGAGAAAGATCTTCCCTCCATTGGTTCACCCCCCAAATGGTTGCCACGGCCGGCGCTGCGTCGATCCGAAGACAAGAGCCAGGTGCTTCCTCTGGTCTCCCATGCACATGCAAGGTCCAAGCACTTGGGCCATCCTCCACTGCCTTCCTGGGCCACAGCAGAGAGCTAGACTGGAAGAGGAGCAACTGGGACAGAATCTGGCACCCCAACCGGGATTACAACCCAGGGTTCCGGTGCCGCAGGCAGAGGATTAGCCTGGTGAGCCACAGCACCGGCCCCAAGAAGTTATTTTAACATGTAAACAAAATTACTTGTAAGATCTTCAATGTTTTTAAAACACTAAGTCTTTGAATTCCAGTCTAAATTTTACACTTACATTATCTCAATTTAAACTATCACATTTCATGTGCTCATGTATGTGTCCAGCACTCTCCACTGAGAAACAGAAGAGACAATATTCCTTCCAATATTTCATGATTGAAATCAATGAGTCAATCCATGAACTAGCTAGTAAACAGTATGGAGATGGCTGGCAAGCTACTTGGAAAAAATAACGCTGAATCCTTTCTTGCATCTTACTGCAATATAAATTCCAGAATGAAACAAGATGTCAGTGTAAAAAGTAAAATAATAAAAGCAATTTAGAAGAACATTTTCTTATTGTCTTGAAGTTGGAAAAACCCTTTAAAGTATATCACAAAAATTCAAAAACAAAGACTGGTAAATTTGCTTTCTTAAGGTTTAGTGCTGGCAGGTGGAGGGCAGTGTTTAGCCTAGTGGATAAGACGCCCATGTCGGGGTGCTGCAGTGCAGCAATTTAAGCCGCCACTTTGGATGCCTACGTCCCATATCGGAGCACTGAATTTAGTCCCAACTGCTCTACTTTGAATCCAGCTCCCTGCTTAAACTCCTAGGAAGCAGGGGATGATGTACAAGTACTTAAGTGCCAGACAACCAACTAGGAGACCCAGATGGAATCCCTGGCTCCTGGCCTCAGCCAGGCTGAGTCCCAGATGTTGTGGGTGCTGATCACTTTTTCTGTCTCTCCTTCTGTCTCTGTCACTCTGCCTTTCAAATAAATCTTTTAGAAACAAGATGCCCATGTTCCATATGCAAGTATCTGGGTTCAATAATTGGCTCTAGCTCCTAACTCCAATTTCCTGCTAACACAGGCCCTGGGAAGCAGGAATTGGGTTCAGGCAATTGGGTCCCTGCTACCCACATGGAATAAGTTCTGGCTTCATAGCCCTGATTTGGCCCAGCCCAGTCTTCAGAGTGTACCATTTATAGAATATCTGTACCAGTCATGACTGTCTCTGTCTCTCTGCCTGTCAAATAAGTAAATAAATAATTTAAAAACATTAAACAGGGTTGAAGTGAAATGACAAACATGAAAAAATATTTCAAATACAGCTTAGAGAGTTTTAAAAACTCTTGACACAAAAAGGAGCTCTTGCAAAAACATAAATACTCAATAATAAATAAGACAGACATAAAGTTAGCAAGATAAGACCAGTAAAGAGAAAAGAAAAAACAAAAGTATTATACTGGGGGCCAGCACGGTGGCATAGTGGGTAAAGCCTTCACCTGCAGTGTCAGCACCCTACATGGGTACAGCTTCGAGTCCCAGCTGCTCCACTGCTGATCCAGCTCTCTGCTATGGCCTGGAAAAGCAGTATAAAATGGCCCAAGTCCTTGGGCCCCTGCACTCTGGTGGGAAACCCAGAGGAATCTCCTGGCTCCTGGCTTTGGATTGGCCCAATTCCAGCTCTTGTGGCCATTTGGGGAGTGAATCAGCAGATGGAGGACCTCTCTCTCTCTCTCTCTGCCTCTCTGTTAACTCTGCCTTCCAAATAAATAAATAAAAATCTTTTTTTAAAAAAAAGTATTATATTGGAGCCAGTGCCATGGCTCACTTGGTTAATCCTCCGCCTGCGGTGCCAGCATCCTTTATGGGCGCCGGGTTCTAGTCCCGGCTGCTCTTCTTCCAGTCCAGCTCTCTGCTGTGGCCCGGGAAGGCAGTGGAGGATGGCCCAAGTGCTTGGGCCCCTGCACCCACATGGGAGACCAGGAGGAAGCACCTGGCTCCTGGCTTCGGATCGGCACAGCGCTGGCCATGGTGGCCATTTGAGGAGTGAACCAATGGAAGGAAGACTTTTCTCTCTGTCTCTCTCTCTCACTGTCTATAACTCTACCTGCCATTTTAAAAAAAAAAAAGTATTATATTAACCATTCCATTGGCAAGGATCGAAAAAGACCCATTTTTCTAGCCTCTCAACAAAATTGGTGATACTGATGGGAACATTAATGTATGAATATTCTTAGGGGCAGCTTGGCAGTATGCATAAACATGTAATCCCACTTTAAAAAAACTGCCTTCAGAGGTAATTACAAAAGGGCAAAAAGATGCAGGCATAAGGATATTCAGGGAAGCATGATTTTTTAAAATTTTTATTTATTTTATTTATTTGACAGGTAGAGTTACAGACAGTGAGGGAGAGAGACAGAGAGAAAGGTCTTCCTTCCGTTGGTTCACTCCTCAAATGGCCACCATGGCTGGCACTGCGCCAATCCGAAGCCAGGAGCCAGGTGCTTCCTCCTGGTCTCCCATGTGGGTGCAGGGGCCCAAGAACTTGGGCCATCCTCCACTGCCTTCCCAGGCCACAGCAGAGAGCTGGACTGGAAAAGGAGCAGCCAGGACTAGAACCTAGCGCCCATAAGGGATGCCGGCGCCACAGGCGGAGGATTAACCAAGTGAGCCATGGCACCAGCCCCAGGGAAGCATGATTTACGAGAGAAAATAAGTGGAAGCAACTTAAATGCCTCCAATAAACTTGATTACATAACCATAAGGTTAATAAGGGTAAGGTACGTTTGTTATAAGAAGATGGTTAATGCTGCTGGAGGGAAATGTAATTTATAAAACAGAATGTAGGGGCTGGTGCCGTGGCACAGTGGGTTAAAGCCCCAGCCTGAAGTGCCAGCATCTCATATGGTTGCCGGTTCTTGTTCCAGCTGCTTCTCTTTTGATCCAGCTCTCTGCTATGGCTTGGGAAAGCAGCAGCAGATCACACAAGTCCTTGGGCCCCTGCACCCACGTGGGAAACCCAGAAGAAGCTCCTGGCTCCTGACTTCAGATCTGCTCAGCTCCGGCCATTGTGGTCATTTGGAGAGTGAACCAGGGAATGGAAGATCTCTCTTTCTCTCTCTCTGTCACTTCCTCTCTCTGTAACTCCGTCTTCCAAATAGATAAAAATAAATCTTTAAAAAAAAAAAAAAAAGACAGAATGTATAGAGTGATCCCACTTGGTTAAGCAGGTTAAGTCAACTTAAGATACAGAGGTGAATAAAGGTAATTTCATGCAATGTCATTCTATAACTACTATGTTTTCCATTTTTGAGCTTTATAAGGCTCATAAAACCACAGGATTACGGAATACAAATAAAATTTGACCATAATCTTTCCCTTTACTATTGCTCACATTCCTCCACATCTTTTCTCCCAGAATAACGAAAAGTTAGCAGGATGCTCCTCCAAACAGAGTCATGTTCCCCCAAACAGACTCACGGGACCTCATTGCCGAAAAAGAAGATGCCATGAAACAATCAGTGTGCTCCTGGGGAGCAGAGTCTCCAAGTGAAATCAAAATACACAAAAGGATGATTAATGTTAAAATGTTTTCCTAATTAGGGAACAAAAAGTCAACAACTATTTCAAGAGTTAAAAGGCTGGCTTTTATTGAACTGTCATGCTACCCCCCAATATGCAGCAGTGGAGACATGTTCAGTGCATTACCTTTAGGAGGAAAATACGATTTGCTTTCAGCTTTGTGAGGCCAGTCCACCACGAGAGGTCCAAACCTGCGAAAGCTGGCAGTGATCTCATCTGCAAAACAGAGAAGGGATCGTAGCAAAAGCGAAAAAATTATGCAGTCAGAATAGCACAAAACATGTCTTTTTATTAAAAAAAAAAAGAGGTTTGAGGACTATTCCTAAAGTATTTTTACAGATGTCAAATCCACTAAGTGAAATGCCATTGATTTTGTGGACATTTGGTTACTTACTTTTAACCACGCAAAGTATGTTTCTAACTAACTATAATTCATTTCCCCTTACTAACAATAAACTTGATGTCAAGAATTTGGGAGAAAAAAATCTGATATTAGCTAAGGTGACCACTATGCCAAGTAAAATCCGAGTCTAAAAACAGAAATGCTCTGATTTTTTAAAAAGACAAAGGTACAGGAATATATTTAAAATATACTTTCATGAGTATGAAACCTCTGGTTATTTTAGAAACACAATTCTTTTGATGAGAGGAAGGGATAATAAGCAGGTAATTCTATTTGGTGATACGAAAAAGTTAAAAGCCAATGATCACTTTACTACCTACATGCTACACATCTGGGAAAGAATATTTACAAAAAATTACAGCTCAATAAATTTATTTTCTCCTTCTGGCTTTGACTCAAAGGAAGATATAACCTGGTTCCTACCAAGATTTAAATTGCCACTCTCGAGCCCATCAAAAAATTTGTTTCAAAGGAAATCTGATAGGTAAGATTAACATGAATATGAGAATGGTTTGGAGGAAAATGGGCTTCCAGCTACATACATCATAGTAACTCTAAAATAAAACAACTTTCAGAAACTTTTCTTGTCTCATCATAAAGAAAAGAAACTCATGATAAATTAAAGAGGTATCATAGCTAGGATAATACTAGTTGAACAAGTCTTTTTTGAAAATATTTTTTAGCAGAATTAAAGTCCACTGGAATTAGAATTCTTTTTCCTGAACTTTATCACAATTGCATTTCATTCATTTATTAAACAAATATTTACTGATATCCTAATATCCTACCAGGTGCTAAAATGAACATTTTTACTGACTTTAAGTCAAAATTCACTTTTAGATGGTAGTTAACTCCAAAATATTAAGAAAATTATAATTTGTCTTTATTCTTTTTTTTTTAAAGATTTATTTATTCATTTGAAAGGCAGAATTACAGAGAGGTAGAGAGAGAGAGACAAAGAGAGAGAGAGAGATCTTCCATCTGATGGTTCACTTCCCAGATGGCTGCAATAACCAGAGCTGTGCCAATCTGAAGCCAGGAGTCAGGAGCTTCTTCCAAGTTTCCCACATGGGTGCAGGGGCCCAAGCACTTGGGCCATCTTCCACTGCTTTCCCTGGCCAATAGCAGAGGGCTGGATTGGAAGTGGAGCAGCTGGGACTCGAACTGTCACCCATATGGGATATCAGCACTGCAGGTGGCAGCTTTACATGCTACATCCCAGCACTGGCCCCTGTCTTAATTCTTTTAAAGGTTAAGGGGGGGGGGTATGCTTTTCATTAACAGGTATTTACATTAAAAAGTGTTATGGTACAGTATGATGGACATCGTTCTAACTGCACCATTGGCTACATATTCCTGGACAAATTATTTCTCTCTGGGGGCAAGCATAGGACAGTAGGTTAAACTACTACCTGCAACACCAGCATCCCATATGGGTGCCAGTCTGAGTTCTAACTGCTCCATTTCTGATCCAGATCCCTGCTAACGTGTCTGGGAAAGCACTGGAGGATGGCCCAAGTATTTGGTCCTCTGCACCTACACAGAGAACTGGATGAAGCTACTGGCTTTGGCCTGGATCAGCTCCAACCCTTACAGCCATTTGGGGAGTGAACCAGCTGATAGAAACTCACTCTCTCTGTTTCTTCTTCTCTCTCTGCAACTCTGTTTTTCAAATAAATAATTTATTTAAAAAATTCTCTTTGATCTTCCATTTCCTCATCTACAAAAGACAGATGATACACTTCAAAAGATAGCCATGAGGATTAAATGAGAAAATTTAACACAAAATGCTTAGTACAGTAATCTTACTTATGGTAAGAGTTTCTTAAGTATTAGTTGTCACTGTTGCTATAGAATTTATCTCCAAATTAATAAATAGAACCTGGCAAGATGTTGGAAGACTGCTATGTTGCTACATATGAAAAAACAGACCTAATGTATTCTTCCTCATTTATCAAATATTCCCAACTTTTACATTCTAAGATAAAATGTCCTTTACTAAAGTTGGAGGGGAGAATCAGGTTCAAACCACACAAAGAACAAACCCGGCATTTGTAAAGTCATTAAGGAATGCATAGTACCTTCATCGATATCAGGAGGAAGGCCTCCAACAAACACTTTTCTAGAGTAGCGTTCCACTCGTTCTCCATTTTGACAGCGAGTGGGAGAACTTAAGCCAGATGACAAGGCCTGATCCCCATGGCTGTCATCCAGGAAGGCATCTTCAAAGGGAAAGAGAGAAGACCGACCTGAAACAAATGTGGAAGTTTCTGTAGTTAAAATTATTTTCCAGGACAACAATGCATTGCTAGAAGCCCCAAGTACAGAGTGAAGCATACAAAAATATGTTTCTTGGGCTGTGGAGTTTTCAAAGACTCAGCAGCTGAAGATTAGCAGGTCTAAACAAGCTTACATCATCATTTTTGATTGAGGGCATATACAACACTGAGATGACTGGATTCATATCTAAGGAAGAATTCTCAAAGCTTCAGTTGTTTTCCTCACTAAAAACTTACTACGTTGACTCATACAATCCTTATCACATCTGCTAAGAGTATATTTAGCAGCTATTTTTCCTTTCTTCAGTCATTTCTTAAAATAAATAATCTCTATTCATAGATTTTTATTTGTTCTTTATGGTGCCATCAGAGGCTCACTTCTGAAGATTGGCCCCGAAAGTTAAGGGAATTAAATAAACTGATATAAGAGGCTGGTAACTTCTCTTCTGATAGCAGGAATAAAGATCATGAAGTTTGGGGCCAGCACTGTGGCAAAAGGGGTTAAGACACTGCCTATGTCACCAGCATTCCATATGAACACCAGGTTTGAGTGCCGGCTCCTCCACTTCTGATCCAGCTCCTTGTTGATTTGTCTGGGAAAGCAGCAGAAGATGGCCCAACTATTTGAGTCCCTGCCACCCACATGGAAGACCTGAATGGACTTCCCCACTTTGGCCCAGCCCAGTCCTGGGGACATCTGGAGAGTGAACAAGCAGATAGAAGACCTTTTTCTCTCTGTAATTCTTTCAAATAAATAAAATAAACCTTAAAAAAATCAATCAAGTTTCCCCTGTCATCCCAAGCTACTCCAATTTGGAAATAAACATCTACAATAATAAAAAATGGGGCAAATAAATAAAAACATATAAATTGTGTACATTAAGAGTATAAGTATAGATAGAGTTATGATATCTTAGCCTTATTTATCTAGGCTGTTATTTTATACCACTCAACAAATACATAAAAAGACTAGAGTTATTTTCATTGTTAACTCTACAAATAATGTTACAGAGAAAAGGCAACTACCCTTTCCACACACTGTAAGAAAGGCATCAGCAGTAACAGTCTGTTAATAAATATAATACAATAATGCCATTTGGCATTATGTTTGTTTAAAAACCAATGTATTTCCTGTTTGAGTCTGTGAGTTAGTTCCTGGTAAAACTTTCCACTAGATTCCACTCTAAAAAAATAAACTGCCTGTAGCTTCTATCTTTTTGAAAAAAAGAAAAATCCCCATCTAAAATAAATTAATACATTCTTCAAAAATAAAGAACAGTCTTCCCCATTTCGTCTAGCTTGTCCATAGTTCCCTGAAACCTGTTTTGGTCACAACAGCCAACTCTAAAATAGGATATAAATAGCCCTAGAAAAAATACTAACCATTCATTTCTTTTACCAAAAAAAAATAGTTACTAATATAACTCTGTTTATTTTATGAACAACCCAGGTGGTGTAAGAAAGGAACTGTTTTGATGTTGGGAGTTAATAAATAAAAGGACTGAAGAATTTTTTGTTCAGCTCTTCCCAGCTTAGCTACAATGAAACAGAACAAAATGTGTCACCTATCTTTTTTAGCTTGGCAGGAACAAATGATGGTAAATTCTCATCCCCTGATATTTGTTTTTATCACTGAGGGTAAAAGAAATAGATCTGTAGCAACTAGAGGCAAAATGAACTTCCCAAAGACATTCAGAAATACTCTCCCACAACTGACAGGTTAAATTCCACATTGTCCACACCGGCTGGATCACATGCTTACTCAGTGTCAGGCACACACCCACATCTACATTATTCCCAAAGAACGTTCCTACTCCCACCTCTCACCTTTAAGACTAGACACATGAGGTGCTCAAAAAACAGAAGCTGGTGGAGGGGAGGGAAAAACACAATCACTTGGGAAAACACTGCATATTTCATGCCCTTCCTAGAGTTTGGTCCTCATTAGAAAATAAAAAGACTGAAAAGTTCTGCAGCAAAGAAATATTAACTTACTCCAACATTACCCAAATTTAAGGGAAAGGAAGATTTAACACACAAAACACAGTAGAAAACATCTCAGGAAATATTTATTCATATTCCACGGATATCCACAGACAAGATGCATCTCCGCTAGAGGAATGCCAGCCTGGTGAGGGTGATGGGCAAGGGTGCAATTATAAAAAATAAAGAGGTAAGTACCAAGACAAGGCTGCACCATGCAACCCAAGAGCACAGCGGACTGCCCTCCTGGAGAGAAAAGGAAAAGACCTGGAGAACAATTGTACAGGAGAGCATTTGGAAGAGAATCTTGTGGCAGTGAGGGTTTCCAGGGTAAAGAACAAGAATCCACAGAGAAAATGCTTTCACAACAGCTCTTGATGTTTTCTTCAAAACCTATTCCTTTTCCAGCATTCCCTAAAAGTCTCAATAAAAATGTTTATTATGCAGACCAGATTCATCCCAAAAATCTAAAAATCACCTGATGTCTCCTTCTCTCTAATATGCCATTGTCAAGTCCATCCCTCATTAAGTCCTAGTAATTCAAGCTCCAAAATAAATCTTCCACCTGGTTCTCTCAAATCTAGTCCTAAACACCCTCAGGTCCAGACCACCATCACCTCTCCTCTGTGCTCAGTCTAATGAGTGTTTACCATAGCTTCTTTTGTCTACAGACTTCTATTCTATACTTCCTCAATGCTGTGCCCACAAAACAAAGTTGTCATTTTCAAACATTAATCTGAACATGTAACCACACCCCTCATTCCCAATTTTAAAAACCCTTGATGAAAGTACAGAAACACTGCTGTGAACATTGCATACATCTACATTTTAGCGGCTTTCCCTCCCTCCTGTTCACTAATCTCCAACCACAGAATTTCCTTTCTGTTTCCTGATTAGTCTTCTTTCCAAGGGTCCTAAGGCGCAAGGTGTTCCTTCAACCAAAAACAAAAACCCATTCCACTTTCCTAATTAACTACTACTAATTCTTTGAGTCTCAGCTTAAAAGTCATTTTGTTAGGTGGAATTTTCTTGAGCCTTTAGATTAGGGTAGGTCTCTTTTTCCACCCATGCACAGGACCCTATACTCCTCCTTAACACTTTCCCTAATTACCATTATACTATTTATGTGGGGTTACACTGGGTATCTCCTTTCTCAACACCATTAAATTGTAAGCTCGATTAGTACAGAGACCAACTTACTCTTGTTCACCACTTTCTTTTCCTATCCTAATTAGGGCACATAAAGGCACTCAAAAATGTTAAATTCAGGGACCTTCTTGTGGCACACTGGGTTGAGCATGTTGACCATCCTATACGGGTGCTGGTTCAAGTCCTGGCTACTCCACTTCTGATCCAGCTCCCTGTTAATGTGCCTGGGAAAGCAGCAGAGGATGTCCCAAGTGCTTAGGTTCCTGCCAACCATGTAAGAGACATGGACGAAATTTCAGGCTCTTGGCTTCTGCCTGACCCAGCTCTGATTGTTGTGGCCATTTAGGGAGTAAACCAGTAGATGAAAAACCTCTCTCTGTCTCTCTTTCTCTCTAAATATAACTCAGATTTACAAATAAATAAATAAATCTTCTTAAAAATGTTAAATATGAGGCAGCATCAGGGAAGGAAAACATGTACAAGGACAGACTACTGCAGGTATGTGCTAGAACACAGTACACAGCAGTGAGAAAGGCAAGAGACACCTTTCCTATTGCTTTTATTAGATCAAGCATTATATTTTATATATAAATAAATAAATCTCAAATGTATATATTTAAGGCAGAGTTATAGAAAGCAAGAGAGAGAGAGAGAGATCTTCCATTCTCTGGTTTACTCCCCACATGTCCCCAATGGCCAAGGCTGGACCAAAATCAGGAGCCAGGAATTTCATCTGGGTCTCCCACATGGGTACAGGGGCACAAGTACTTGGGCCATCTTTCAATGCTTTCCCAAGCCATCAGCAGAGAGCTGGATGTGAAGTGGAGCAGCTGGGACTTGAACCAGAGCCCAAATGGGATGCTAGTGCCACTGGCAGATGCTTAACCCACTATGCTATAGTGCTGGGACCAAAATATGGACAGTTTTGAAAATGGGCTATGGGTAGTTAAGAAATTTCCCAAGGTCTTCAAATGAAAGATGTCTTAGTAGTAATCAGTGTACTATATACTTTTAACAAGAAAGCTGCCCTTGGAAATAAAATGGCTAAGAATGAATGCATAAATGATGTTTCTCTAATTGTAGGTAAGAATTAAGAATATAGGTTTCAGATAGCAATTCCAAGATCTACTAATCTGTGGAGGTCAGGCTTGAAAAATCTGCACTTTTCACATATTTATCAAATGACTCCTATGCTAAAGTTTAAGAATCACTAGGGTTGATGCTGTGACATAGCTGGTAAAACTGTCACCTGCAATGCTGGCATCCCACATGGGTGCTGGTTCAAGAAACAGCTGCTCCATTTCTGAACCAGCTCCCTGCTAATGTGGCTGGGAAAGCAGAAGAGGATAGCCCAAGTCCTTGGGCCCCTTAACCTACATGGGAGACCTGGAAGAGGCTCTGGGCTCCTGGCATCGGCCTGTGGTCATTTGGGAAGTGAACCAGTGGATGGAAGATCTCTCTCTGCCTCTCCCTCTCACTGTAGCTCTGCCTTTGAGATAAATAAATCGATCTTAAAAAAAAAATCACTGAGATGGATGTTATTGGTCTTCACTTGATCTTAGCCAAAAGGCCAAGAAGCGGATGTTATTGGTCTTCAGCAGACAGCATTGAGAAAGGGATGGTATGAAGTGTGTAGAGGCTTGGGAAAGATCAAGTTAATCAAGTTAAGGAAAGTATACCCTCAGGACTGCAGTATAACATCTATGATCTAATCAGCTTTACTGTACCATGACTGCCTAAAGTATTGGAGGAAACAAGGAGCTGTCTGCAGGAAGCATTTCAAAGACAGAACTGCAGAGTAAGAACTTCTGTTTACTCAGAGCAGAGCAATTCTTACA